CGCTCCCAGCTTGTCGACGCTTGGCGTCAACAACATCCGTCTGTAAAAGACTACACCTTCTATTCTACACCTCATGATACGTACTCTAGAATAGACATGTTCTTTGTTCCCCACCAATACTTAGCGATGATAACCACCACAGACATTGGCACTATCACATGGTCAGATCACGCCCCGGTCTTCATGCACATTACTCTATCGGACCACCCTTCACGTAATTCGTGGCAGTGGCGCCTTAATGACAGCCTCCTACAAGATCCACTCATCCTAACTGATGTCACTAAAGAACTACACTCCTACTTTGACCTCAACGACGTAGAGAACTGCGACCCAGTTCTGCTCTGGGAGGCACACAAAGTCTTTATTAGGGGGGTCCTGATTAAGCATGGCACACGAGTCAAGCGTCGGAGGGAGGCCGAACTGTTAGATCTGTTGCAAACACTACACGGCCTGGAACTTCGACATAAATCGACCGGCTCGCGTACACTATTAGCGGACATACTATCCACTCGCCAACGGATAAACTCCCTGACCTCCTATAGGGTGAAAGTGGCGCTTACACGATGTAGGAGGAAATATTATGAGTCGGGGGATAAATGCGGGAGACTTCTGGCTAGAGCCCTGAGGGAACAACGGCAGCTCTCCTACGTACCACACGTGGTCACATCCCACCAAACTAAAGTGTCACTCCCGAAGGCTATAGCTAACGCCTTCCGAGATTACTACTCCAAACTATACAACCTGCATCCTACACCTGACTCTACTCCTCGGAGCACCTTGCAGTATAAGATTTCCTCCTACCTATCCTCGAGCGCTCTGCCTTCTCTATATGCGTGGATTAGGGATACGCTAGATGCCCCCATAACCTCGGAAGAGTTTACCGCTGCGCTTAAATCCGCGAAGACCGGGAAATCGCCTGGCCCTGATGGCTTCACGACTCAATATTATAAGCTTATGACAGCGGTACTGGCGGGCCGCTTTACACAGGCTTTTAATGCCTTGTCCACCACCTCTCGGCTCACCAGAGACTCTCTCTCCGCCCATATTTCAGTTATCCCAAAAGATGGAAAAGATCCATCTTCGTGTAGCAGTTATCGTCCGATATCTCTCCTGAACACCGACCTGAAGCTGTTTACCAAAATATTGGCGACTAGATTGAGCCCTCACATGCCTGACCTGATACACTATGACCAAGTGGGGTTCATTCCAGCTCGTGAGGCTCGGGACAACACCATCAAGACCTGCCACCTCGTTCATTATGTGGCGACATCCAAAATTCCTTGCCTTTTTCTGTCTACTGACGCTGAAAAGGCTTTTGATCGGGTCTCCTGGGAATTCCTGTTCGCCACTCTGAGACATATAGGCCTGGGAGAACACATGTTATCCTGGGTTTCGGCAGTATACTCCGTCCCGACGGCATGTGCCAAGGTGAATGGCGTCCTGTCGGACCCTTTCCCAATCACCAATGGAACCAGACAGGGTTGCCCCCTTTCACCGCTACTATTCGCCCTATCTCTAGAACCATTCCTCGGACATGTTAGGTCTAACATTGATGTGACTGGAGTTAAAAAGGGATCTGCGGAATATAAGGTTTCTGCCTACGCGGATGACCTAATGTTCTCGCTCACCAACCCAGTAATCTCCCTTCCCAATCTCATGCAGGAATTCGCAACGTATGGTGAGCTATCCAATCTAAAGATACATTTTAGCAAATCCACTGCCATGGGAATCTCACTCCAGGAAGGCCTATGCTCGATCGGTGGTGCGCCACTTGATGGATGCAGCTAAATCCTGCATCCCCAGTCTTTGGAAGACCCCCTCTACCCCTACAATATCTATGTGGATACGCAGAGTGGAGGAGATTAGGGTAATGGAAGACATGATTCTGTCCTATCAGGGTAGGCAAGAACGCTACTCTAGGACATGGTTTTACTGGTTGGAGTACATGGATTCCCCTGAGGGCAGAGCATACTCTGTATGATCTTCCTCCTTTAACTGGCTCCTTGGGGAGGGCCCAGTGAGTGACCCACTTGAAAGGCTCTACCATGTCTCACTGCCCTATGCCTCCTTGTTCACACTTACTTACTGGTCCTGCCCTCCTTCCCTTCTGTGGGTATACCTCCTTCTTCATTCCTCTCTGTCCTGATGTTGCCTGATGTTCTTCCCCTCCCCTCAGCCCCGAAAGCAGACAGATAGACCCCGCGGTTAAACGAGCCCAGAGGTAAATATTACTAAATTCTGCAAAGCAATTTTCCTAATGGCAGTTAAGCGTGGGAAATGTTACTGTATACATGCATTCATGGATATAGATTTGAAATTGCCTAATCAAGTCAGGATATCGTTCACATCTTGTGAATCAGCTTTCATATATGGATAATACTGCAGTATTTTTGTGCGTTAAAGCTGAGCTCTAGAATAAGCAAATATTGTCTAAATACAAGAGGCATGCATCTCTAATTGGACGAGGTAAAGATCATGACATCATCCACCTCCCCCCTCAGCCTTGTCTAATAAGGAAACGCCTTAAATTAACTGAAAAAAGACTTTCTCTGAATGGAGGACGTGCTGAGCGGGTGACTCCCTGTGTTCAGTATACAGACAGCAAGTCACTCGAGCAGCACCCGGAGGAGACCAGCACAGGCTACCACAATATATTTCTTTATCCCCAATGGCCCTCCCGCAGATGTTAAATTGGAGTTGAAGTGACATTAAAGTTAAAAAAAATTCT